TGTTGGGTGTCACTGTTTGATTTTTATTCGTAAGACTGTGAGTCAGTCAGTGTGGGCAAAGATATTGTTTACGAATGCATCCAACAAACAATGCTATGAATCTTGTTTTCAAGTCCACAACTAGATTTCCATTTTATATTCTTACATTAATTAGAAATTAAAGTGGAATCTATTTTTACATATAGAGTTTTCATGGCTTCTTGCTAATTTTAAGGGTAGGCTTGTAAAAGAGAAAAAAAAAAGAAGGTAGTATGATCTTTTGATCCAAAAAATCATGTGTGTGTGTGTATATATATATATACATACTACCTGCAGGGATAAGGAAGAAGCCATTGAATGCTTGGCAAGTCTGTAAGAGCAGTGTTCTTGACTTAAATTAATACATAGAAGGTCTGCAAGAGCATTGTTTTAGATGTTACATTTTTGGTCCGTACAAGTCCTGATATGCTTTCTTTAATACTATCTCCTATAGATTAATAAGTAATTTGAAGATATATTATAGTTTCCAACATATAAAAATAATTGCTACTTATGGTTGATAAAATATTTGATAATTAAACGTACTATATATTCACATATTTTAAAATAAAATAAAAAGTTATATGTATACGAAAAAAATATATACAACTGGCCTGGCGTAGGTGGCTAGATAAGAAAAAAAATATCTATAAGCACTCACAAATCCACTTTCTTTGGCAAGGTTCTATCCATCCCCATCCTGACCTTGCTCCACTCTCAAGTTTCAACAACCATATATTCATTTCATTTATATATTCCACATTCCACTTATATTTGCGTATCAATGTATCCGATAGACATATAATTATCTTGGTAAGTCGGAGACTCAGTCTGATCAAGATACAAGAAACGAAGGAAGGGAAAAAGGCAGGACAAATAGTTCCAGTTTCGAATAATAACATGGCGTAACAGTTGTTCATCAGCTGCTGTCTTTAATTTTCACAGCATTTTTTCAGCTTCGATTCATTTCTGCTTAAACTTTTCTTAATTTTAGTTGACAACAACAGTCTCCTTTATCAGCTAGCTAGCATGAGAAAAAGCCGCTAGCTCGCTTCCCTCGAAAACAGGCAACTGCCTATATATGCTTCAAATGGGACTCCTCAGATTCTTCAGCTACCAGTACCCTATATTGCTATGCTATACAAAAGTGTGTATTTATCTTAAAGTTATTTTATGGTCCTAAGGGATTTTTTCTTTCAAGGGTGACTTATTAACAAATAATAATAATAATAATAATAATTTTATTATTTCAACTCGAGCTGACGTGATGAAATTAATCTAAATTTTTGAATTTATGATAATTTGCCAAACATTCAATTTCTTTTTCTCTTTTTAAGATTTCTCTATTTTCCAATAATGATTTGACCATCAAAACATAAATATTAAAAAAAAAATTTTAACTTCTACTTTTAACCAACTTCCAACCTTATAATTTCAGGTTTTTGAACTTGTCAAATAGCTTGACACCAATATATATATATATATATATATATATATATATATATATAGATGCAGCCAGGCCTGTAATTAGTCCAAGGGTTCAGTATAGCTACGTACTAATTAGTCTGTGTAAATTAGCATATATAATCTTTCTGATGGTATCCGATCATGATCATTTTGTTTCCACCGAAATTTGACGTTGGAAGCTAGGGATCGTGTCACTTTTCTTTTTCTTCTTTATTTTTGAAGTGAAAAAAGCTAGAGATGGTGCCTCAATTCATCATGGTTAGAGTTGTGAAACAAATTATTTGGATTTAACTCATTCCCTGCTTCTGGTTGACCCGCTTCATCTTGAAATGGAGAGTTCGGCTAGCATTAATATAACAAATTGAGTAATTTTTAATTAATAAATAATATAAAATAATAATCTACACAGATAAATAGTACTTGTTATTTATCTTATAATAATATATATTTTCAATTTTACCATTCTCTTCTAATATACATACAATACAAGGGAATTAATCTTAAACTTCAACTCTTCTAATAAGAGTTCAAATAAATTATTTTAAATTCCCTTTATTAGTATATTTAACCGATCAACCTTCATTATGTTTTCTTCAAGTTTGATTGTTTGAGTATAACAGATAAAGATGAAATTCTGTTAAGTTCAAACGAATTTTGAACCTCAAGTCCTTTTACAGAAAAGAGGTTCAACTTCACCTTTTTCTTAATTACAATTAAAAGCCTTAACCAAGATTATTCTTCAAATATATTGTTTCTTCGGTACTCTTTCTAGCCTTTTCGTTTTTAATTTGCCAATGTAGATCACATATATAAATAAAGACAAAATTATTTAAGTCGAGTTATATAAAGTTTCATTAAAAATGATTATATAAAAATTAATATAAAATAAAACCAATAAATAGATGAAAATCTACAACTAGATTAATAATATGTTAAGACTCAATAAAAATAGTATTTATGCACAAATCTAAATCATTTTTGAACAGTGACAATTTCTTCATAATTTTCATTTTTTATTTTACTTTAAATGTATTGAATGTTTTAAATAAGAAATCTCATACATATTTGATCCAAAATATATACTTTACCTAAGTCTTATACCTAAAATTTGCAAGATGCTTAACTAATTATTAAGAAGTTGAAGAATTAAAGTCGCACCTTGCATGCTTTTAAAAATCTTTTTTTCTTTTTTTTGCTAAGTCAAGGATGATTTTATTAGAGTTGAAACAGAGATACAATCACTAATAAAGTGATTCAAAGACACAATCCTTTTAACACCAAAAAGAAACTCTCAAATAGGATATAGCACCTCAATCACCAATCCATAAGAACATCTCTGACCGAAATACCCCATCTCTTACCAACGCATCTGCCATTCCCTTAGCTACCTGAAACACATTCACAAGTATCATCTCTGAGTCAGATTCTGTTAGCAGCCCTTTCCATCCAATTTTCATAGCCACCTCTTACTCAGATTCTGTTAGCTACCTGAAACACATGCTTCTAAAAATCTACTTGAGTTTCTACTCGAACTTAGTTAAAACGGTAAGAATGGGTAGAATTAGAGTACAAAATCTTAAAATTTAACTAAATTAATATACCCACTTTTCAAAAGAAAATTAGTATACCATTCTGAAAGGAAAGAGAACTAAATTAATTTAAGTAAGGTAAATATGCGAGGGAAATGAAGTCCAGGTTTTGTTTAGGTTTAACTCTTTAGAGATTTAAAAAAAAAAAAAAAAGCAATGATTTGGACTTGAAATTTTGTGCATGTATACAAGATAATAAATTCAGATTCATTCCACTATGGATCCTAATTTTGAGTCTTAGTGCTTTTATTTGTTAAAAAAAAAAAAAAAGCTTTCATTGGATACCCACATACCTTGTAGATAATAGTGAAAAATAAAGCAAGATGAAAGGGTGATTAAAAAAATGTAGAAATCATATTCTATCCATCTTAATTTGCTTGTCTTTATTTGATTTTGTTGAGAGATCTCGAGTATTTCAATTCTAGTTATTTTTTTTTAATTGTGGAATTGTTCAAAAAATGTTTTGAATAGTTTCAAATTTTATATTTTAGAAATTTAAATCTGTGTTAAAAAAAAAACAATAAAAAATGAATTATATTATAACAAAAAAAAGGACAAGTAATTTTGGCAGATAGATGTTAATTACTTATGAGATGTTATAATCACTAGACTTGAAGCCAATTCCATGCAATGATTTTATTTTATTTTTTTTCATTTTTTGATAGAGTATGCACTCTAAAATCATTCACAGTCTAAGTATTTTTTAGGAATATCAAATCACTAGCAAATATACATATAAACACAGCAATATTATTATTTCCAAGAAATGATTACCTATTCTGTATATATATATATATATATATATATATATTGTCCTATATACATTGGTAATAAACTTTACAATTTTCCATTAGTTTATATTTTATACAATTATATGTGACAACTTAACTACAAAATTAAATTATTACTAAATTAATTAAAAGAATATGTGAGAATATATGTTTGTAAAAAATGCAAGGGAATTTATCATGGAACTTTGTAAATCCACTTCAATGTAATATTATAACATTAATTTTAACTGACCTTCCATCTTACTTTTCATATCATTGACATATATCTTTGGTAGAATATGTGCATGGAATTATATATGCTGAACTAACAAAATTAATAAAAAAAAAAAAAAGGAGAACCATATTAATTAACCAGAACTCATGTACTATATATATATATATACACGCGCGTGCGCGCACATACATTGAGAAATGATCAAAGAGAGGAAGAAGAAAGAGGGGGCAGGAAAACAAGAAAGTCAAATAAAACATCAATATATGTACATTAATATTGCCTAAAAATAAACAGCCTCTTTATCTTGTGCATATAGAAAACGGCAGCCTCGTTAGGGTTTTTCTTTCAAATCTCTCTCTCTCTCTCTTCTCAGATCTCCACCGCTTCAATCATTTTTGTTAACATAAAAGAAAAAACAAACAAGGGAAAGGAAAATTTAAAAGCCTTAAATTACAACGTTGGTGATGATAGTGTGCATTGTGACAAGAACAATGTCGTCACCATTCATTATAAATTACCGATGCTTATGTTATGATATATCAATTCCACCAAGCTGAGCAGAGAGATTCAGAAAGGAAGGCAAGGGATATGTAGTACTAGAAAACAAACAAAAGAAAAAGCCCGGGGAGTTTGTGTTTTTTGTCCCAACTCCAAACTGAAACAGGTTCCATTCAGAGGGCATTAATTAACTTCACGTTTTATATGTTAGGTTTTGATACAAGGCTTCTCTTCCTACGAAAAAGATCCTCCGCTATTTTCTTGCCTATTTCCTTAATTTTTTTTCCTACTAAATTAAAAAAAAAGAAAAGAAAATCTTTCTTCTCTATCTCATGAGTTCTCTGCAGCATCAAACCAAAACCAACCAGCCAAGCTATATATGATCATATATGATATATCATCTATTCCCTAATAATCTTTAATTTAACCCAGTTTTTTAAGTACACAAAGCACACCGTCATCACCTATTTTGTCCACTGATAGAAATTAATTCACAAATTAAAACACTCTCAGGAAATAAAAGAAAAGAAAAGAAAAATGAAAACCCACGAATACCAGGAAAAGTAAGCACTTAAGTCCATTTGTAAGTTAAAGAGACCTGTGCTCAAGAATACTGATATTGGTTCTTTGTCTCTTAACACTCCCTGAAGAAGACTCATCCCCAGAAGTCTTCTCCATCACTGCTTTCAATGCTTCTTGTATTGAACTAATAGAATATTGCTGCTGCTGTTGTTGCTGATCACCACTACTATTCCAGTCTTCCTCTCCGGCAATAAACAGAACACTCTTTACACGCCCACCAAGAGTTGTGATCTCAGCTTTTAGTGTTTTTAGACGTAAAGCCTTCAACGTCTTGATTAGGTCGGGCAAAAGATCGGACCTATCTTCACAGCAAAGTGAAGCTTTGATCACAAACTTACCATCTTCATCCGATTTATCCACCGTTAGTTCATCGATTTCGGTCGGCACAGGACTCGTTTCTGCTATCAAAGAAGTTTGCCGTTTAAGCTCCTTGACATGTTGGATTACTTCTGCAAGCAGTGAAGCCTTGTCCGTCTATCTCACATTAAAATGCAGTTAAAATAATAGTAAGAATGTAGTAGTAGAAGTACTTATTAAATTACTTAACATGCATCTTAGGTTACTTCTCTAGCGATGAAGCTTTGTCCCATCAATGCTTCACAAGAAATAACCAAAAGAAGAAAACAGAAGACAGGTTTAAATTAAATTGACTGATAAAATCAAATAGACAGGAAATGGTGGTTTGTTAAAGTGGTTTTAGTGTGTGAAAAGAAGAGATGGATTTTGCTGTTTTCTCCATGCTTTGATGATTCAAACTTGAAAGTGGCTCAAAGAATAGGTTGTTAATGGTGGGGTTTATTTTTATCTCAAGGGAACGGTACAAGCTAAATAGTATGACTGACAAAGGACGCTAGCTTGTCTCTCTTTATTTCTTTTCATTCCCTACTTAATATGACTGATGATCCGGCAAGAAATTTCCATGGAAGCTTTTCAAATGCCCTTTGGTTTCTCTTTATCATATCAACCGAGCGATATTAGCGCTCATTCCCTATTTGTATTTTTTTTCCTCTTCTTGGAACTACCACGCGACCGTTAGGAATAAACCGAAAGACAAGCATTTTTTTATGTTGAAAAGACTGAAACCAGATTGAAAGAAGAGGGGCCAAGAAGAAAAACGTGACGACCTTTCACGTCTAAATGGGTAGGTTTTCATAACATATTATCAGACCAACCATCTAAGTAGAATCTTAGGAAAATCTACACATATTTTTTAAGGCAAAAAGCCCATTATAATACAAAACAAAAAGGGTGCATAAAAGGTACCGTATGACTCTTCCATATAATATACTAGGACATGTTGTACGCGTGATGATTTATAATGGTTTCTTTTTGACAATTTTAAAACCATTTTTGCTTTTATTTGTGAATAATTTTTCATGACTCTATGCAATGACTGCCACTTACTTTCGTGGTGCTTGGGAGTAAGCTGCGTAGCTTGGCGAGATGGTTGTTGATTCGTTCTCTTCTTCTCCTTTCAGCTTCACTGTGACTTTTAGAAGCAGCGAGAGCTTTAGCATCAATGATTTCTTGAGCAGTCATCTTACCAAACTCAGCTTGTAGCCCGCAAGGAGCTGAGACTGGTTGAGCCACCGGTCCCAGAGTGTCAGATAAGATCTTTAGATGATGAGCTGATTGGCCATCGTATGCAAAGTGTAGGGCAGGAGCTCTTCCGTTGAATAACCCCCCATATGATGATGGCGGAGGAGGGACTAGAAAAGGGTCGTGGTCTCGAACCGGGTTTCCTGTGAAGTGGGCTGGATTGAAAGTGTGAACCGGAGGGAGAGACCATGGTAGGACGGGCGATGCTTCAGGGAATATCAACCCTCCCCTAGCTCCTCCAAATAAACCATTGTTCTGTTGGTGGTGGTGGTATTGCATCTGTTGGTGTTGTTGAATAAGTAACTGTTCTTGGTAACCTTGTATGTTATGGATAGCTTGAGAACACTCTCCTAGATCTTCTTCTTTCTTTCCACTCATCTTTTCTCGATCTTTCCCTTCCTCCCCCTCTGCCCTTTCTCTCTTTAACTCTGGCGCCTCAATATATTGCAAAAAACTAAAACAGACAAAAGATTCAAGTTCTATATGAATAGATATGAAGTTGTTTTTGCATTGATCACTTCCTCCTCTGATGTGAATTGTATATGAAAAGGATGATTCAAGGAAAAGGATATATGGAAATTGGTTTACACTTTCCTAGAGGAAGGGAAAAATTGGAAAAAGGGTTATGAAAGAAAGAAGCAAAAAAGAATAGAAGAGATAAACATTCCTTTGATATGTTACATACATGGACTTTTCAGAGGTCTCTCAATTCTTCTTCTCTATATATGATCTGTTTTGTGGTAGCGAAGGTGGTGGTAACTGGTAGAAGAGAAGAAAAGCAAAGCAAAGGCCAAAAGGATTGGACTTGTCTATGAATGATCACTCAATCTCTTTCAATTGGGTAGGTTTTTTTGTGCCACGCAACCCCCTTTTTTTTTTAACCTTCGCTTCAAAATTAGCTTTCCTTTTCCTCTGTGCTTTGGTGGTATCTTTTTGGTTCCTTTGGTTTTTATTTTTTATTTTCTCTCCCTCCCTCTCCTCTCCACCGCTCTAAATTTGTAGTCTTTAAGTACTGCTACTCTCCTTTCCTTTCTCCTCACGGCATTCTCTATCCATTCCTGCAGCTATCAGGTTGGGGAGAGAGAAAGAGGGAGATCCTTTTTTTTTATTCTATTCTATTTCTTTTTCTTAATTTTATACATGACACTAGTTGTTTATAACATTAAAGTATTTCTCTCCCTCAAACTTAGCACAATCTTAATATGAATGATACATTCATTTTCATTAAAAAATAACACTTACAGTTTTTCTTTTTCCAATTCTTATGCAATGCTTCGTATGTAAAAAATAATAATAATAAAAGTATTTCTCTATTATTATAAAATAATAATATTTTGTTGCTTTGTGATTGGTTCAAAGTGTAAAATTAGACGCTGTGTCTGTGAGAGAGAGTGGGGATGGGAAACACAAAAACAAAACACAGTGAACACGCAACACACAGATTGTCGACCGACCAAAGACCAAAAAAGGCTGATAGTATCATCATGATAAAAGGCTTAGCTAAACCCTTTTCATTTCTTTTATTTTTTCCCCCTAGCTAAACACAAAAACGCTTTTCTTTTTTTATGCCTCGCATCTTCCTCTTCCTGCCTCGGTCAAGCCCCCACGTTCTTCCACACTCTTGGCTATTTCCACGCCAATCTTTCTGCTCCCCCAATAACATGTTATCATTGTGTCTTGGAATACACTCCACCTTTCCCTTCTCTCTCTTTCTCTAGTTGCTCTTCTTCACTCTTCATGAGCCTTGGGTTGCAGTTAGTACATGTAATTTGTTCATGGCTTCCCTTCCTTGTCCTATGATCCTTCCTATTAGAATATAATTTGGCTTTTAAAGTGGAATTTATAGTATATATAATATATATACAGTACAAGGGAATTTGGTCATTTCATTATTAGTGTAGGGACTCTTCTTTTTCAAGAGCATTTATTTGATAAATTGGTATGCTCTCCATTTTCACATTGCACATGTAAAGCATTGACATGGGTTTGGTAGGGCAGCCTTGCATTTTTCCTTCAGGAGGGTTAATTCCCACGCATCATAAGAAATGAGGGCACCACACATTTATTACCCCCTTCATTGTAAAATGTTGAGCTTAATTGGGAAACTCAATGCAATAGTGGCATTCGAGTACTTAAAGTAATGAAACCTCAATTGAAAATGTGAGAAAGGTGTTTCCACAATGAACAACCATGCATGTTCTCAGATGAAAGGATCTAACTTGGATATACTTGTACCTAACAACCTAAAATTCCCCTTAATTTAAGTTTAAATTTACTTGTTCTATTTTAATATACGTGATAAGACATATATTTAGTTTGTTTACATATATGTCAAGATCAACATAAAAATGAATTAATACTAACATATATAACCATAATTATATTTTATATATGGATTTCGCCAAAGAACGTCGTATAAAACACTAATCTTTAAAATTATTATATTGAGTAATATATTTATTTACTTGATGCATTAAAAATTTAACAAATTAATTGTTAGTATATAAATTTTATATATTATTAATGAATTAGATGATATTATTTTATTGATAAATAAATATTTTTAAAAAATTAATTTTTTTATAAATTTATGTTAAAATTTGTTGTTTATTTTATTAATATAATCTGATTTAGTGATAATATATAAAAACTTTTTAGACCAACCAAGGCAAATAAAAGCAAAACAAAAATCATTCAACCGTCAACCGTACCAGCCTTTTTTTATTACGCCTTTTCAACAACATATATAATTGTTTCAAGAGGGAAACCCCATTTTTTGTCTTAAGCATTTTTCAAATGGAATTGGTTTTTGTTACGATAACATAATATTGACATTATTTATGAGAGATCGACACTCAAATCATGAGTAAAAAAAAAACCCCATGCCAATTAGTTCATCACACAATATACCCCCTAGATAGTGCTTCAGCTTCTTCCAATATAATAAATATAATATATATTTGTACGGAGGGCTTTTCTTTTGCCTTATCAGGCTGAGGGCATGAAGTGACTCAAAGCAAGGCGCAGGCAGTGCCTCTTTCATTGAAGTTGTTTCTTTGCTGTACTGAGACTGTTTGCTTAGGCAAAGGAAAATGAAGCTAAGAGAAGGGATGGTTTATATTTTTTAGGACCCTTTTGTGGTCACACGCATGGCTGCTTTGGTCCCCCAATGTTTTATCTTTTCATCTTTTTTGTGCAACTTTTTAAGTTTTAGAAAGACAAATTATTCAACATTTTATGATAGCTGCAGCACCACTATCTTAACCCACGAGAAGTCCAAGTCCCGCATCGTCGTGGGGTTCATGATGACATCAGTCCCACCGTGTCATGACGTTAATTACTTAATCTGTTCCTAATTCTTGTAATTAAGTTGTAACCCCAACTGGTTAATTAGGGCTTCTGCTTTAATTTCTTTGATGATTGTCATTGATCTTGCCTTAGCATAGAGATTAGAGAAGCAGCAACTTATTTTTGGTTTATGCCTTGTGATCATTAGTATATGGTTTGAACTTTGAATTAATTCTTCACTTAGGTACCAAAGCAACAGAGCAAATGGCCCCCCCAAAAAAAAATAGAACAAAAAATAGTGGAAATGAACCTTATTACTGGTAACTTAGTCTGCCTGCCTGCAGATAATGTATTAATTATTCTCTCTTTTGGACTGGATATTCAGCAGTAAAACCCTAATTCCATGGGAGAAACATAAACCTAGATAGACCACCAAAAGGTCTTCCTCCTCCTACATACTCCACGTACCTATGCTAGCTAGTTGTTGCTCCCTCTACAATCAATACGAATATTTTATATACTTTTCACTACTTCCAGATGCATATGCCTTGTAATTGCATGAGTTAATGGAAATTATAGAACTCTCTTCAATTTCAATTATCCAAAAAATATATTTTTTAAATAATTCTATTGTTTTTCGTGACAATGATTAGGCCACAATTGACATTTTATTATTGGTCAAATAAATCATGTCATAACAGAATTAGTTTTTAGATAAACTGCTTGACAAAATGTAAATTTTAATTTTAATTTTTAGCTATTAAATTGACAAAAATGACATAATACATGAGTCAAATAAGTATTTAACCCTTTTTACTATTACATATTTGTAATTACTTCAATTTTAAGAAAATTATCATCGTTTCACCATAAAAAAAGGGTATTTACTTTATCTCTCTCTCTCTCTCTCTCCCCCTCTATATATATGATATCTTATTTGGAAGTAGCTTAAGATAAAAATAGCATTTTTTCACAGGTACATTGACTTAAAAATAGTATAAATTTTACAAGAGTAGAGGTTTTGATATAGAATGATTAATTCTCCAAAAAAATGAATCCAAATTGATAGGGTGATTAGACGATCATGCATATATACTATGTTGAAGTGATATAATTTTAAGTTGAAAAAGTGCGAGAGAGATGTTTGAGTAATTGCTAATTAATAATGTTTAAGTTAAGCACATGATTCAACTTTTCTTAGAAGAAAATCGTAAAAGTACATGTTGCTCTTTAAGCTAAGCACGAATGATTTTTAACTAAAAAGAAAAATTGAAAACGCATGAAGTGCGACCCCGATCAGAGAATTCACTAATTAAGGTGCATGTTAGCTGGTGGGTGGATGGATGGAGGGAGTGTTTGTCCCAACTTCTTCGTCTTCATTAATACCAGGCATGCAATGCCTTATAATTTCGTTTAATTTCCTACATTTATAAATGTTACATTAATTATTTTTCAGCTTCACGTCTCGTCAGCTCAATTTTTTTCCTTCCTTTTAGCAGTGAAAACTCAACTTGCCAACTCCTCATCCTTAATGATATTACTATTTATATATCAAATTCAACTAATTAATTAGTAGCTAGAGAATATCTTAATTCGTAGAATTTGAATCAATTGATTTCCTTTTTGGTTGCATATATAGGGTCATTAATTTAGCAACTTACAAGTTCTAACTATTTATCTTCTAAAATCTTTTAATAGATCAGTCAATATAAAAAAGCAAAATTTGACATAAAAATTGTTAAAAAAAGTAAACCCTTTATTTCATTTTCGATTTTTTTTGAAACGTTTGCCTCATTAAATGTGAATGTATATATTCTTTTTTTCCATTGAAATAGTGAATGTATATATATACGTGAAATATAAATTAGGAGCATGCAACTTCTCCATCACATTAGCTCCGAAGAAGGAAGTGGCTACCTTCAACTCCCAGTTGCATGCAACTTCTTAACCGCTTCCATTTGGAAACATAGTTACAACATTTTTGGACGTCATTGTACTTAATTAATTGCATGGTTCTTATTGCTGAAGAACAAAGAAAGAAAAAGTGAAGCCTGTGAATTTACTATATATGTATATGTATACTCTCCTATGCAAACGATACAGTGAATCTTCTATTCATGGATTTCCTCCTTTTCTTTCTTTACACAATATATAGCTTCCTAATTTTCTGTTGATAGTTTCTGCGAGTCCAGAGCTGGTAGGACATTCACTCATGGCGTCCACTAAAAAAGTTACTTCTAAACAAACTTAAGTGGTTCTAAACATAAGTATCTAGCCAGGCTTCCCTTTCCTCTTTTTTTTTTTTTGAAGTGGTGAGCCACAACTTATCAGAGCATTTTGGACCAAACAGATGCTAGCAAGCTGTATACATATGATTACGACTCTGTTTTCATAACTCTTCCGCTTGATATATCTAGGCAATTAGAATTAACTGAGTTTTCAACTTAAAAGGTAGGTCAACAAAAACCTTAGCCTCCTGGTCCTACCGTGCCAATCAGTTCTGCACTGAAAAATTCAAGTCCAGGTTATTTAAAATTGTGCAAAGGTCTGGAATTGCACATATCAACC